TATAATAGCAAGTGTGCATTATTATAGCAACAAATTTGAACATAACAAAAAAGGAATAAGTATTCCTGCTATATATATATATATACATATACATATATGTGTATATATATATATGTGTATATATATATATTATATAAACTAGCAACTTTACCATTCCAGTGTCAGTTAAAACAAGAATATTGTCATCGTTAACTGAGGATTGTACAATGCGGGTACTGGTCCAGTCAATATTATCAGGCCATTGACTTATCTTGGTAAAACATCTTTTTCCATTCTTTGGGCTAGCCCAAAGATATTTCTTTTACATAAAGATAGTGTTATCACATATTTTCCATTATATTATAGATATGTATACAACTTAATATACTTAATTTATTTAGCTTAATTTACTTAATTTAAATTATAAAATATCAGAGAATAAAGTAATACAGCTAAATAAAAGCAAGCTAAAGATTAATAATTATTGAATTATTTGCACTGCTACATATTGTCCAATTTATTGAAGAAAATGTACACAAAACTTCTTTTAATTCTATAAATTTATTGAACTTATTGATAAAAAATTTAAATATACCAGATGTAAATGTTGTATATTTGTATTATGATATATTACGAAATGTAAAAAGATTACAACATGACGTTGTAAAAATATAAATGATGTATTATGTACGTTAATTCATTTCTTATATATTAATTAATGCAACTATAGAGAATATAAAAATGTCTTTGATATCAGCAATATTTTTTCAATTTTTAAAGTTAAAAAACAAAATTTATCTTATTTCTTAAAGGATTTATATTTTCATTTCTTCATATTGTATATATTATGAGATAAAAATACTTTTTATACTCTCTGTTTAGGTCGATTTCTAAATGTAAGAAAATATTTAAAATGTATACAATAACCATTTATATTATTAAAGTTCATACAAATGTCAAATATATTTTTATAAATTTTTAATGTACCTCTCCATTTTCAAAAACCAAAAACGAAGAACCAAGATGATCTTTTTCAGTATCAAAACCATAGGTGTTAATAAAAAGTTTGATCTTTTTCCTGAACAGCGGATTTTTTTGATGCCTAGAAAAACAGTCAATAACATAATAGAACTATTCATGATTGTTTTGCACGGAAAGCAACAAATTAATATTATCCGAATATCTCTTTATCTGAAAAGTTAATAAATCTATTTAATATTATCACTTAAAAAATTATAACTTTTTATTCTTGGTCTAATTTCGTTTGTTCAAAATTTTCTTTATTTGAAATTTAGCAAACATCTGTATTACTGGAAACTATCTTACAGATTTCACTATGCAAACGATTGACAATTTTGTAAAATTATTTGTATGATTGTTTCAAATTTAAATGATTATCTTATAATACAATATTAATCTTAATAATAATTTTATAATTTATTATTATCCTGATGTTTTGTAGACATATATACTGGTTGTTCGATAAAGTTTGACAAAGCGCGCGTGTGTAAATAGAGCGGAGTAAACTACGTCGAATAATCCTGTACCATTTTACAATTTTCGCAATTAACAATTATTAATTACTAAAAATGGCCGTATATTTCTCTTCAATATTTTTTTATTAAAATATTACTACGGAAAGTAACTCAACTTACGGAAAGTAAACAAAAATTGTTTACTTTCCTCTTATAGAATTCTTTAAGATTTTTTTCAAAATTTTTATTAATTTTTCTGTACCGCATTTTCTTGTACATATGTATATATTGGCAGCTATTTTTACCGACATACGGAAATATGATATTAAAAAGATCTGAAAAAAATTCTCAGAAGTTCATGAGAAGAAAATAAACATTTGTCTCCTGCTGTTTTTTTGTAAATTTGATAGTATTTGAATAAAAAATTATTGAAAACTAATATTTAGTAATTTTTAATAATTAATATCTTGTGTTAACTATTACGAAAATTGCAAAATGATAAAAAACTTTTCGACTTAGTTTAGTCCGTTTTATCTATCTTACATACGAGCGATTTGTCAAAATTTATCGGACGTCCTATATAAATTTAGAACTAGGATATTTTTATTTAAAATTGCAATTTTACTGTTATTATTTAGGTTCATTTATCGATCAAAAATGTAAAAAAATATTAAGTATAAAAAGAAGAGCATAAGAAACCATAGCACAAGTTATAGTTTGTGATATTTAATTATTGTTACATTAATTAAAACATTAAACTTTTCAGCCACAGTCTGGCCATCTTCAGTAAATTCATAATATTCTTAAGACACAGATTTACATCTAGTTGACATTAAATTCAATCATCGTATGTTGTAATTATATAAACGTGTTCATTTCTATGAGAAGTTGCTTCGTACAATAATGTTACAAAAAAGTCATATGACGAAAAGTGTAGAACGAGAATTTTGGCGTTGTAACATTATTGTACGAAGCATCTTCTCATATAAATGAACACGTTTATATAATTACAACATACGACGGTTGAATTTAATCTCAACTAGATGTAAATCTGCGTCTTAAGAATATTATGAATTTACTGAAGATGAATTTACTGGCCAGATTGTGGCCGAAACGTTTAATTAATGTAATAATAATTAAATATCACAAACTATAACTTGTGCTGTGGTTTCTTATGCTCTTCTTTTTATACTTTTTAAATTTATAACCACGTTTATTTTTACGATGTATTTTAAAAAAATATATAATTTTGCAGAAATATGATATTGCGTTTCAAATATGTATTTTTATTTCTAAAATACCTGTATAATAAAATTAATAAATCATGAACTTAAAACTATAAACAATAAACAAATTATGCTGGATTGATCCATCTTTTGATAAACTTCAGCTTACTCTTTGTTATTCTCTTAAGCTCTTTTATTATTTTGTTTATCCAGTAGATAAATTATTACATAGAAATAATTTATCCGAAGATGAAATAACCTTATTATTCGGATTATTTATGGTGACTGAAAAGAACCTTGCGCGTTCTGAACTTCTCGCGTCTGGTTATTGACGGAGCCCCTCATTTCTTGAAGTCTCCTTATTAAAAATATTTTATAATGAAATGTTACATATATTTTTAATATTTCTAAAATGTTTAATCACAATTTTGATATTCCAAAAATATTTTTAAATTTAAGAAATTCCCACAGATTCTTATTGCTCTATTGTTAATAACGAGTTATGCAGCGTTATAGAAGTCATTGCGAGTCTATATAAAATATTGCTGTGTCTGCCGATAAGTATCTTTTCTGTTGGACAAAGTTTTTGATATTTGAAAGTTTACAACATAAAAACATAAATTTTGAAACATAAAGACATAGAAATTGTTGAAGAAACAGCGTTGAATAAACAGCGTTTACTAGAAATAGGAAGTGTAAATTATATAATTTATTATAAATGTTTATAATTTATTGTAAATATCTATATGTTATTTTTTGCTGACACAATTTTGAATAAAATATTTTATGAGTTAATAAAATATGTACGTAGTACTTTTTCAGTTTAATGTTAATGATAATTCAAACAGTCTATTTTTTTGATTGATCGTAAAAAAAATTTCGCTTGGAGCGCGCAAATTTAATAATAAGTAGTAAGCGTTGATCATTCTCCTGTTAAATAAATTGTACGCCAGAATAACAATTGCACGCCGAATCCAACAACTTTTTTCTTTCGATTAACCTTGCATCGAAATTCCAAAGACTAGAATTTGTGTATATTATCTTTATCTGTGTCTTAGATAAAAAAAGTATTATATTTTCTCAAATTATCTAGATAATTAATTCTTCATATTAAATAATTTATATAAGTCATTTATCTAATACACAGATAATTTGAGAAAAGATAACACTTTTTTATTTAAAATATCGATAAAGATAACATATATTCTAGTAAAAAGAAGCTGACACCATTTCGTCTAGAATAATCTAGATGCAGCAAACACTGTTCAATAATCTCCGCTTCAAAGAAATTACGCCCCAATTATTTGTTAGTTTTTTTAAACGGTCGGTAGTTAGTAATTCTAAACCAAAGCTGAGATATTTGTGACTCTATTGTATTTGTAATATATGTAGATATATATCCAAGTAGAATGCAATGAATTCTAGCTTTGATCGTCTTTAGCTTTATATAAAAAGTAAACGGGAGCAATTCGATTCTGAATTATTAATTTGCATTATTATTGTACAATTACTCAATAGCAATGTATAATATATTTCTTCAAAAATTACAACAAAAAGAAAAAAAGAATTTTTAACTTACCTACTTTCTTCTTCTTGTTTACTCGAACAGACATTCACAGACATTTTATTATGTAGGTGTATCTAAAAACTCGTATCGTAAATATTCAACGTCTGCAGAAAATGTGATGATGAATAATCAAAATCTATCAACATTAAACAGTACCGTGTATTATATAGGAACGCAATGCAGCACGTGCCTCGAAGCGGAAGAAAGAAATACAAAATGATTTTTTTTCTTTAAGGTGCCCTTTCATACTGACGTTAAAACAGGTTACATGAATAGGTTGCAAAATTAACGCTTGATATTCGTCAATTTTTATCACGTGATCCGTTTTGACGTTGAAAATGAATGTCAATATGGAAAGGCACCTTTATAGCAAATGTTCCAAATTTAATACGCTGAAAATCTATAGTTTACATTAGCTGCACTACAGAGTTTCAATATTAAAGGATTATTGGATACATTCAAGTCGACAAAACTAGCCTGCTCGCTGAGCAAAAGAATACGATTGGTTGTTGCTTATATTGTAGATCCAGTCAATCACATTCTATTATTCGGCAAACATGCTAGTAACTTTGTCCGAATTGGACACGTCCATTTATAAAAAAAGGCCGTTAATATATGCCATAATCCATAAGAATTGATTAATCATAGTCGATTACTTCTCTCCCATTTGACTGTGATTTGTCAATTTTTACAGATTACGGGTTGTATAAATAGAAACGAACGGTTTAATGCTTCATATAGTATCGATTAGTCGCGTTCTATCGAGCGTAACCAATTTGCCAATACAGAAAACACCCACCATACGAGTATGTCCTGTTTATAAAGTTAATGATAAATTGCATGAGATTTTGCGGAAGTGATATTAGATAGACGATAGATTCTTTAAATCGACTCTTGTACTTGAGAATTCAAATATAATTCAAATTGCAAAAGTATACAAATCGCATCGATGAATGGAGCAATCGCAATTCGACGATATTTAACAAGCCACAGTATCGAAGCATAAATAACTCTGATATATCCTAATATGTACGTCGGATCCATGAAAACTTAATTTGTCAAATATAATTTACTATTTTTAAGGTAAATAACTATACCAAAAACTTTATATTGTTTATTACTAAAAAAAATATTGAGAATTCGAAATATACTCATTTTTTATATTAGAAAAAATCTTTTTCAAACTTTTACATTTTTTTTATATATATCCATAAGGATGAAAAAAACCTACGATTATTCTTAAAGGCGACTTATGAAAAATTTATAAATAATGTTTAGAAATAAAACGTACAATGACACAACTTAATTTATAAAATGTGTTCACAAAATTTCATAAAGGGATAAGAATGGTTTAAAGAAATAGAAATATTATTTATTATTTCGTATTTAAAGGATTATCTGCGTAGGATCATATGCCTCTCTTAATTCATAGGCATCACAGTATTGTTCCAATTCCTGAAAATTATACAACACATAAATAAATAAGTATACAGACATATTTTTTACAGTTAATGAATTTTAGTATCAAAAATGATCACGGGCGTATACAGGATTTCTCTCTCGAGAGATCTAATTGATAAAAATGATTTTACAAATCCGTTATCTCATAAAGAGCATTGTTTTGCGTTAATAATTGCTTTCTTTAATATTTTAAGGCTTAGAATGTCTCCTTGTTTCCGATTCGAATACAAAAAATATTTGATTTTGGAAATTTCACACACACACACACAATTTTTTTCCTAAAAAAAATGTAAGCAAGATACAGTTCTTAAAAACAAAATATATATAATATAGATTTAAGAGGGTTACTTTGGAGTCAGCGCGGTAAGAAGTGCGCAATCTACACTTACATTATATAATCATTAATAGTGTAATGTGTATTGAAAGATGTTAGTTTGAATGTTTCAACTATCAGTTTTAGCTATCTTCAGTAATTATTATATAATAATTAATACATTAACAAAGAATATTTTTTATCCAGTCGAGAAATGAAAAAAACACAAAATAGTACATCATACAAAGAAGTTATCTATCTTCTCGATTAACAAGTGATTGCGTTATAATAAAATTATTAAGAGTCAAAATTATGTAATGTTAACATTGAAATTGTACAAAAAAAGTTTTTATCTCAATCTCATATAACACTGCAGTTAAGTATATTATTGAGTAAATAAAAAAGATTTATGAAACATGTTGTGAGGACACTTAAAAATCGTCAAGATGTATCGAATGTTCTTAACTGTTTCACGTCTAAGAATGTAATAAACAAGATGTTTTTAAGATAGATACTGAAAGGACATAGAACGATGTTGTTATTATGTAAGTTGAATCTAAATTTATTTATATTTATTATGAAAGTCGTTATATGTTCATTGTACGATGTTTGTGCTTTTCTTACTTTCCGACTGGATAGAAGATATTCTTTGTAATGTATGAATAAATATATATATATATATATATATATATTCTTTATTCTAAAATGTATACAGTATATTATGATGTATATTATGAATGAAATATTCATTAATATTTTATATTAATATTCTGTTTCTTGTTAAAAAAAATAAAGTTTTGATTGTATATAATTAAAAATAAAAAATTTTGGAGGAGTTTAAACTCTCGAGCCCTCCCTCTGAAAGTGCCCATGAAACTGATTAGATATAGTAGAGCAGTTGGCATAAGTTGAGATTCTATTAGTGGTCCTATCACTTCATACACAATATGATTACATTTTCTTAAGAAATTTCAATAAAAAGATACATTCTACTATGTAACAAAACAGGAATAAAAAAGGTATAGAAGAAACATAAATATAAAGAATTAAAATTCAATTGGATCAACATATTATATCAAGCTCATCATAAATTATAATCTTTATCCTGAAAAAGAAATAATAGAAAAAAAAGTAATATACAGCTACCGCTTTGTTATATTTTATCGCCAAATCCTTGATGCAGTCCACGATTGATGGTCTCATATCGATTTTTAAATACTTAATACATTCTTTCTTAAGATTTGTGACGCCGAATTTATCAGCTAATATCAAGAGCTCTGTATAATAAAAAATTCATTTTAATTACGAATTAACCCTTCGAGATTATACTTATTAAAAGTTCAGTAATGATCATACAAAATCAAAATGACTTCCAAGTGCATTTAAATGACTGCTGTATTCAGTTTTCGTTTCATAAAACAAAAAAAAATATTGGTGCACTCTAGAGTCATTTTGACCCCAGTATGACACTATGAAAGATTAAAGACAGTATCAATGTGTATTTAACTAACACTCACCTACCAGCCCGCTTAAACATTCACAGGAGACAAAGCCTATGTACAAAAATGTAAAAAACTCTGTATAAGTATGATATGAATAATCATCATATTTGATAACCCTGTTCCAAAAAAGATGTTAAAGTACAACACACGAATCAAACATAAAAAATTTTTAATAAAAATTCTGCATAGTGTTTTCATAAATGATACCTTTTTCTGTTTTCTACCTCATTAAACTCGAATATGTATTTGAAATATAAACAACGCATTTTCAGAATGCTTTTATGAACGTAAATAAATTTCCCGTCGACTTCTATTGTAAGATCGCTCATGAACTCTGGAGAAAACTAAGAATTGTTAAAGATAAATATAGGTAACAATTTATAAAAAGAGAAAGATTATTAGATACGTAAAAGAAAGGTTAAAGATTTATAAAGAGTATCAAAAGGAGAATTGAAGTAAATACTGCTGACATGTGACGTTAGTACATCTTCAACAAACGATGTTCTTATGACTTCTAGCATGTTTCAAATCAACTGGAAATCCATTATAGTAGAAGTACGAATAGAACAGAAAATGAGACTTACATAACACGTATAGAACGCATTACTTAAATCATCCAATATATTCTTATCTTCCTCTGTATATATACGATTCTTTTCTACCGAATGGAACGATGAGTTGTATCTATCAAATATATTTGTATATTCACAGATAGCCAAACGTTTAATTTTTAGATTATGTAAACAACCCTGTATGTAGATACGTCCATCATAGCTAGATTTGAAAGCGCTTATATATTTCATGGCGGCGATATCTGATACATTATTTACATTAGGTATAAATATCTGTTAATCACAAGATTTTTTTTCTTTATTATACATTTTTCAGTTTTCATCATGAAAATTATAAATAACAAGAAACTCACTTTAGAGGGAGACTTTATCTGTGTTGTCTCTGGTAGGTTTTCTCTATTAAAATTCAGTTGTCCATGCGTGTTTA